GATAGATAGATAGATAGATAGATAGATAGATAGATAGATAGATAGATGAGAGCTTGAGAGATACAGGCAGGCAGGCAGTCATATCAGAGAGAGAGAGAGGGAGAGACAGACAGACACAGACAGATAGACAGACAGAAATAGGGATAAATAGATAGATGGACAGATATCAATATCTTGCAAAAACAAAGTTTAGAGAGAGACCAATAGACAGACAGGCCAATAGACAGACAGAGACAGGGACTACAGACAGACAGAGATAAGGACCATCTTCTGCCTCTTTCCCTATGTGTAACGTATCTGTTCTATGATGCCAGTAAATCCACAAAAGCTCATGTTGTTAACAGTAACAGCAGCTTCCAAGTTCTTTTCCTGCTTTGCCACAACATGCGCCCAATGTTCCTATGTAGAGGCTTGCAGGGATAACCCTGGCAGAGGTACACGGGAGTCATTGAGAGGAAATAAGAGACATCTCTCCAGCCTTAAGCCTTTCTCCAAGGCCCTTACCATGAAGAGCACCGGGCTGGTCGCTGCCAACATCACAACTCTTCCATCCTGGTTGACTTTTCCACCTTTGGCTTTTGTTAAGACTGTTTTTGACAGAGCCACTTGGAACTGGTTGATTTCAACATCCTGTAACACAGAAAAAGATGTGGCATTACAAGACTTTGATTGGAAAAGAAGGACACAGAACATAGAACAACAGAGTCAGAAGGGACCTTGGAGGGCATCTAGTCCAACCCCCTGCTGGAGCAGCAGAATCTATTCCAAATATTAGCCTCTACCTAGGATCGAACTCACAGCCTCCTGATTGTGAGGCAAGAGCTCCACTTCTAGGCCACCGCACTGGACAGGAGTTAAGGCTGGGACCATCATTTCCCATCTGGATTTTCTTAAATTTGGTTTGCATCTACTGGTTCTGGCAACCAGGCCTATGCTGCGATCTATAATTTTCCAAATTATTGTCGCATTCTTTTCAGATCAGAGTTACACACAGATAATCCTTCAAGTTGTCAAGTTTGGACACTCCTGGTATAGAGTCTCCTGCTCAAGCAGGAGGCTGGACTAGAAGACCTCCAAGGTCCCTTCCAATTCTGTTGTTCAGTATTCTATATTCTGGGGTGGTTGTTGTGGTTGTTTTTGCATCTCAGTTCTGTACTCACATTCACGTTTTCCTCAATGGTCAAAGTTTGTGTCTTAGGTAGAATTTTGTGCACATTGGCAAGCACCTTTGATCTCCCAAACCTCTTGTGATCTTCTTGGAACTGTGTCTCTGTCAAAATTGACTCCAGATGTTGGAGATCTCTGTTGAAAAAAGGAGGACCAGATGGATCCAGGCAACAGTTCCACAGGTACCCACCTCCATCACAGAGGCGGGCTGCCATTTCACTGGCCTACCTTAGTCCAACAGGCAGAAACACCTGCAGCAAATTAGAATGATGTTAGAAGGGCACACCTGTACAGTACAGGCAGCCCTTGTTTAGTGACAGCCTCTTTTAAGGACCATTCACTGTTATGGGGGTGGTGGAAAAAGTAAAAGGCATGAAAAAGGCTTTCATGCCTGAGGTGGGTCTGGAACTCACCCTCTCCTAGTGATTGTCTCCAAGTTACCCAGCCAGCTTTGATACCTAAGATGGGACTAGAACTCACAGTCTCTTGGTGTTTGGCCCAAAGTCACCCAGTCAGCTTTCACGCCTAAGGTGGGTCTAGGACATTCTGGGAATTGAAGTCCACAAGTCTTAAAGTTGGCAAGGTTGGAGACCCCTGGTCTAGAACACTCCATCTCCTGGTGACTGACCCAAAGACATCCAACTGGCTTTCATGCCTAAGGTTGGACTAGA